TAGAGTTGTTTGTTGGTTCTCTCCTGTGCTTTGAGTGTTTTTCCAGGTTCTCTGGTTTTTCCTCACACCACAAAAATCAACCTCTAAATTCCAATTCAATCCATTAGAAGAAGGGCCACTCTGTGGAACTACTATTAATAGACCACTTTACCTTCGTATGCAAATTACTATATCAGATCATGATATTCCCTTGAGAATTATTCTTTTATGACGGACATGTTTGTATATATAAACATGAAAGAATCAACTCCCAAAAGTTGCATCACAACTTCTGCTGTTCGATACGAAAGTCCCAAGGAGTTTATGGAATAAGTTTGAAAGAACTCTACAAATGGACTCCACACAAATTAGAAAAACTATGATGGACAAATCAGCCCTTACGCGACTGCTGCAGCAACTGCTGCAGACAGAAGCTCCCAAAGGATGCTAGTACTCCGAAAAGGGGAAAAATGATGATGATGATGATGACATGGTCTGAAATGTGCACAACAAACGACAAAGCTAAAGATGTCTACTCTCATTTGTTATCTTATATATTCTTTACTCTGCACATGTACAGGTATACACTGGACATTGTAGCAAACGAAAGAGGTTCAACAATCCTACCTATTCCAGTATCCGCCTCTCTGGACAGGGCCTGTGATCCAAGCTTTTCTAGGTTCTCTGCCTCAGCTATTTGATTGTTTATATGACCTACAGGAAGAGAATATTAACAACTTAAGTATAAAGCCAGGTACTTCTGCCCTAYAATTATCAACAGGAATCGATAGGAATGGTGCAAACTTAGTTTTAAAAAATGGTTGAGAATTTCGCATCTCATAATGAAATGTTACAATTTCCCACATTTTTGCCCAAGATTTTCTGAAATTGGTTACAGCTGTAACTACTGATATTGCACCTGAACACACAATGTTCTGTTCAGTGACCAAGAATAATAGTTCAAATTTTAAGAWGCAGTTTCCGTGCATAGCAAAACTATTTCAACGCAACTCCAACCTCAGCTTGGAACAAATTATTGGTGGTCACTGAATGAAGCTGTAAAATGGAGTATTAGAGTTCTAGAAGTACAGCATGCTCCAATCTTCCCAAGGCATCTTCAAGTCACATATCTGTACAATGGTCAGACATACAGTATCTCTGGTTTTCCTCCATCCATAAAAATCAGCATGTGGGTTGAGTGTTGCATGTTGTAAAACATGAATGTAGTGGTAGAGTGCATATGATATATCTATGAAAAAGTTAACTAACAAAATGGTACAAATTAGTGCATAGTTTTGTAGGTCTACGGTCTACTGAGGTCTATTGCACTTACTAATTTGTGCAAATTGGTGAAATTTTTTACAAATGTTTTCACAGATATATGGCATGCACTCTCTAACAGAAAAGCCTCATATGGGGAGTGATGGTTGTAAAATATATAAGATATAAGTTTTTATCTCACCTAGTCCTGCTCCATGCAAGGCTTTGACTGACTTTTTAAATTTTGATAAAACCATCCTGTCGCTTTCGAGGCTCTGGAAAACAATCACAAAATCTAGTTCTTTAATGCTGCCTGGATTTCAATCAGGGTAATGTCTTAGAATAGGATGTTTGCAAGATGGTGTCATTGACCTCTACTACCAGAATCTCTTGCACACTTTCTGTTGTTCAGTTAATTAGCAACAATTGCCTTACTATTCTCACGAGGAAATAGAAATTTGTATAAGAAAGAAAATTTGAAGCATTGTTGTAGAAGTCAAATGACGTCGTCATACAAACATCCTATTACAATGTATTCAAGGGGGTGAATTGGGTGAATAGTGACCCCCCTTTGAAGCCGAAAAATAATAAGAATAAAGGATAAGGTAAGAAGGATAAGGTAAGAAGTAAAGCAGGCAGGTTAAATTTTCAAATAATTTAGGATCACTTCCGTTACAGTAAAAAAATCATTTCTAGTAATAAATTGATATTAAAATGTCGACGTTTGGAACCAGAAATGATATACGCCAAATCAAAATATGGTGAACATTTTAAATAACTATTGTTCTGGACTGACTAGCCTCTCATACGTGTGAAAACGCATTTGTGTTTCCACGTGCATGAACACAAGGCTAGTCAGTCTACTCCATGTATGTTTTGTAAAAAGAAATAACTTTACAGTGACGTCCACTTGGACTGTGAACACAAGTTCTTCTTTTCAACTTTCTACTGTTTCAAACTCCTTAAAATAAAGCAATGAGTTTAAATACATCAAGTGGTCAAAATAAATCTTATTTCTAATCGATTGACTTAAGGGATGATTTAGAGTATACGCACTTATTCTAAAAAAGTGACAAAAAATTCAAAGTGTTGATGATTTGAGTGTCTTCACCGTAATCTATATATATCACATCTTTTACTCAATGTGGTATATTCATGTATAATGCATGCGTTAATTATAGTGAACAGGGTATAGTGTGTATAATGACAGTTTCAAGTTCTCTGTTGCTCCGTGCTAGCCTCGATTTTGTTTAGAATATTCATGTGTTCCATTCAAGGTCTGTGGAATTTCAAAGTGTTTGTATTGTTAAAGTTGTGCATTCTTTACTTTAACGTCGGTATTTGTGAATATTTAGACACTGGTACGAGGCTAACCCTGTGTAAATGAGTCTGTAATCACGAAACACAACAGTAATTTGGAAAACGAAAATGGTGTATTATGATTGTAATATTTATAATTGATTATAATTATAACTGTGTTAATATCTAAAGAATTAAGACATATATTCAATAGGTATATAAATGAAGGTGTCAAAATACCTGCCTATGGCACAATGGAGTATATAACTCGATATTTAAGGTGCAGAACTTTGAGATATAAAGATCGTTTTGATAAGAGAAATCCAGAAGGAAATTCCTTAAATTCTATATATAAATGTACAATCGGAAATAATCTTTTCAAAAGCGTTTCAAATGAATATTTTAGGAACTAAGAAAAGCTACTTTTGGACATAATATTTTGTCAAGCTGAAGCCAAAATAAAAAGAAATCGTTCACATTCGAAGTCGAAATTTTTTAGCTTTCATTCCAATAATTCACTTTCATATTACTAAATCATTTTCACATATAATAAAGTTTTAATTCAAGTCAATATAAATAAGATTTAATGTAGTTTTTTTTTCTGGAGGAATTTCCGAGTTCGAAGATACGATTTTTTGAGAGAAAACCCAGCAAAGCAAACCAAAATAAAAAGCTTGATTAATGATTATTTTGGTTTGTACTCATTTCAGCACAACGAACCAAGATTCTATAATATCTAAGCTACCTGGAAATAATAATTCTAGCTCGTATGAAGGTTATTTGTTTAAAAAAAAGAGGAAATAATCTAAGAGAATTTATCAAAGGCAGCTTGAATTTTAAGTTTAGTGTGACTCGACTGCTCTTTTTATTCTGGTCAAGAACAAAAACAAATTCCAAACACGCCTCAAGTCTTCCCACAAACATTAAAGACTTAAACCATGATCTAATTGATTAAACTAAAGTATTAAGTAGGAGTTTTTGAAGGGTTTTTTGTCATACTTACCTCTTCCACCTCATTCACCGTGTTTCGACAAGCGTTCATTGAAGACAGAAAATTCGACGTCGTTGGAGACGACATATCGTCTCTTGTCTCCTGTAAGAAGTCTACGGTGGATATTCTGTCCGGCATGATGGATTTTAGGGGGTTTAAGGGGAGTTTTTCTTGTTAAAACATGTCAAAAATTGAAGAGTTTTCGTTGTTTTGTGTTTAGTCGAGTAACAGCAGACGTGAGTAGTTCCGGGCAAAGGCACCAGGCTATCACTGACTCACCTCTCGAAGGAAGTTGGGATTTGGTGGGGGGGGGGNAATAGGGAGGGGGAGGGGATTGGGAGGAGAAAATGTATTTGATGCAAAAATATTTCCAGAGTACTCTTACAATAATATAATGGAGAACAAGGAACATTTCTGCAAAGGTGGAGATTTCTTTTATTGGTTACCAAACGAATCCCGAGCCCCGACCCCCCCACCCATCAACCCCTCCCTGTTAAAAAATGAACAGTCCCTCTTAAAGGCAGGTAATCTTTTTATACGTAATACTGCAAATTACAGAAATAATGGCGTTAAGAAGGGACAACTTCAAAGTAGTGATCCAAAATACTCGTTATATCGATATAGGTGGTCAGTACTAGAGCGTGCAACCGTGACTCAAAATCCCTTGAGATATGACGTAATATGCACATGTTCTTTTTTAAGTTTTGAGATGTGAAATGGGCGATCTGAGTATTATTTTTATATTGTTTTGTTTTCTAGCTATGAGAGATGAGGCGGTAAGCCGTGTGGGATGGGCTCGGAAACAGCTGTCCACGGTTTCTAGTTGAGCTGGCTCATTTTACGCGACTTGAAGTTGTGAAAGGCCTTCAATCGTTTCATATAAGGTTCGTAATTTACCTATTACGCATGTTTTCCAGCTACGAAAAATCACATGTCGGACTCAAAGGCCGTGCTTCATATTCCAATCAATAAAGGAAAACTAACGTTGTTCAGCTGTAAATTTATCACAATTTTCAGTGTGCTCAGTAATCGGTCTCAGATTTAAGATTTGAGATTTCCGACCGAAAAGGTTTTTTGATCGAAATGGGTATGATACCGCCCATCCCCCAGAACTAGCTGTGGAAATGATCACCGAGTGTTCATAGTAAAATTTTGTCATAARCAAATACATTGTTTCGCATGCATGCAAATAGACAGTACATTCAATGATGCAATTTAGTGTTATTTTGAGAACAAAATGCAGGATTTCCGACTTCAAGAGGCGGTAGGTACAGGATAACCCCACCCCTCCCCTCAGAGGAAGTTCAGTTTTCTATTATCTGATCTGAATGTAACAAATAAAGGCTCTTAAAAGTAATGTCAAGCCCCGTTTTCACTGGCGACTTTTGCGGCGATTTTTGCTGCGATTTTTGTGGCAATTTTCGGAAATATGAAATCTTTTGTCTCATCCTTCAGAAGAGACATTCGTCTAGGAAAATCTTGGTATCCTGAGAAAACTTATTTACAAGTAAATTCTTTACCATTATTTATTATGGACAAAATCGCAAAAAMATCGCAGAAAAAATCGCCGCAAAAATCGCTAGTGTAAACGGGGCTTTAACAAGACCGTTATACAAAGAATGTTGTTTTTGTGCCGGCAGAAAGCGTAGCCTATTCGCCAGACAAAAACGACCAAATCGTTAACCCTATCCCAGACTAAAATGATACCCTATCCCAGACAGAATGTCAAAAAATGATACCCTACCCCAGACCCAAAAGCCGAAAAACCATACCCTATAGGGCGGTACATACCCATATAGCAAATATAGGGGAGTACCCCCCCCCCTCCCCTCGGGCTTCATCATCGTGATCGCTAATTTCTTGAAGGACATAGGCTCCAAAGAGTTCAAAAGTTAGCCCACGATTGCCATGCAAAGTACGTGGAAGTCAGCTGGGGTTCCCCAAGGCTCCAAATTCATTGGCAAATTTTAATTGGAGCTTAGCTTCCAAACAAACTGCGGAATCGGCCCGATTGTTAAAAGTTATGTGCAATGAACTGTAAGTAATTCATAATATAGTTATTTGTAATATTTCTGTATTTACAAAATTTAGCCTTTGGCTGCATAAGTAGATTTTTTATAAAGCATCTATCTATCTAGATCATTATCATTATCATTATCAGTCATTATCAACATCATTATCAGTCATCATCATCAGTCATCATCATCGTTATCAGTCACCATCATCTTGCATCATTATCTTCAGTGTCATCATCGTCACCAACATCACTATCACCATCATCTTGCATCATTATCTTCAGTGTCATCATCATCACCAACATCACTATCACCATCATCTTGGATCATCTTCAGTGTCATCATC